TAGAAATCTATAAGCAAAGGGAGGGCCTACTCCAACACCCGCTCTGAGGTGTGCCCGGCAGCCCGCCCCCCCACACACACACTGGAATCGCCCGTTCCAGAAGGGGAAAACCCAGTGCCCAGTCTGCTATCAGTTCCTGGAAGGCGTGGTCGGCTGGCAGGAGAGGGAGATGGCCGGGAGGAGGAAGTGGTGCAGGCCTGGCCCCGCGTTCGTCCGCCCTGCTCTCCCATCTGCTTCCCTGCGGCAGGTGGGACGGGGCAGGGTCACCGTTTCCTAGCAAATACACGTGTAGGTCACCCAGTGAAATTTCAACCTCAGATAAACAAGTAATGTTTTAGTGTAAATATGCGCCATGCAATTTGGGGATATACTAGTACTTACACTAAGAAAAAATGTGCTGTTTAGCCCCAGCCTACAGGGGTCAGTTGGTTGAGGGTCATCCTGTGCACCGAAAGGTCAAGGTTAGATTCCCCATCGGAGTGGGTCCTGGAGGCCAGCAATCAATGTTTCTCACATCAATGCTTCCCTCTTCCTGTCCCTCTCCCTCTCTCTCTCTCTCTAAAATCAATAAAACCATAATTTTGGGGGGGGAATTGTTTATCTGAAATTGAAGCTTTTCTGGTAACCTAGGTGGGTGCAGGCCATGCGCTAGGCAGGGGAGGGCTGCCGCAGACAGCCGGGGGCAGAGCAGTGACAGAGAGAGGGACCCAGCAGAGGGCACAGGGAACCCTGGGAATCCTGCAGCGGCTGGGGCAGAGGGCAGGGAAGGGCTGGAGGAAAGGAGAAAGGGGAACAGGTCCCAGGCCCAACAGTCCATGCCGCAGGAATGCAGAAGGGCCTGGTTATCTCAGCCTGACTCAACCCTGACCCCACCCCACCAGACAGGGACTAGGGGTGTGAGAGCGCAGAGCGGCCGGCCCTCCGCTGGTCCCCTCGGCTCCTGTGCTGTCCTGGGTGACCTCAGGCAACTCTGGCAAAGGTCAGGCTGGGGGCCTGCTCAGGGGGCCGCTCTGTGTATGGGGTTGGCGTGCTGGAGGGGAGTGCCTGGGAGGAGAGGTGGGCTCCATGAGGGTCTGGCAGTTTCCTGTTTGTGTAGGAGGATGGCCACCCCATCAGGCGCCTGCTGCTCACCACAGCGGTGACCAGGGTATCCCTCCTGGGAATGCCAACCCCACCCACTGTTCCTGGCCATCCCTGGATGGAGCCAGTCTCCCCCATCTGCAGGTCCTACCCATCCTTCAGAGCTCTCTCCAATAAACAGAATCATAATGATAACTAAATCATCCCTTGGCCAGGCTTCTTCTTTAAAAAAAAAAAAAAAAAAAAGTATATTTTGTTGATTTTTTTACAGAGAGGAAGGGAAAGGGATAGAGAGCTAGAAACATCCATGAGAGAGAAACATCAACCAGCTCCGTCCTGCACATCCCCTACCGAGGATGTGCCCACCACCAAGGTACATGCCCTTGACCGGAATTGAACCCGGGACCTTTCAGTCCGCAGGCCGACGCTCTATCCACTGAGCCAATCCAGTTTCGGCTGGCCAGGCTTCTTGTTTCATCTTTACAGCAACGTTATGAGGTAAACGCCCTCCTCATCCCCACTTTACAGATGAGAAAACCAAGGCTTGGGTGAGTTAAATGACCAAAGCCCCTCCCCAGCTAGCCAGCAGTGGGTGAGGACGCACACCCAGGCCTGTGTGGCTCGGGGGCCCATGCTCCGGGCGTGTCTGTGCCGCTCTCCCAGCCTGGAGTTCCAAGGCCTGGCCGCCGTGCCCCGTGCGTGCCCTTTGGTCAGGAATCTCGGAGGAAGGGCCCAGGTTGGGATTTCTCCCCCCTGAATCCTCAGTCCCTGGGACAGAGGAAATAACAGTGTTTGTTGAAAGACTAAATCTTGTTCCAAAATGTACTCAGCTCCCTTCCCTGTCCCCCGTCCCTCTTCCTGCCCGCCCAGGCCTTGCGGAGGCCAACACTTGGGATGTGGAGAGCCTCATGCGTGTCCGCTCTTAGCCAGGGCCAGGCTCCGAGGAAGGAACTGGCCTGTAGCTCCGTCTGTCCTGCAGCTCCCTCCAAAGGAAGCCCCTCCCCGGGCAGGCGCCTGGGCCCCGGGACAAGCCCTTGGTCTCTCGAGGAGATAATGCCTTTGTCCCTTCTCGGATAAACAAACAGAGCCGGCTTGAAGTGTGTCCTGCAAGGTGCACGAGCTAGTGGCACCCCACCCAGGGAGACAGGCCTGGCCTTCCTCCCAAGGTCATGGGCAGCGAGGCCCAGTGGATGCCGAGGCCACGCTGAGCCCGTTTTGCAGGGAAGCCGGGCCTCCGTGTTCCGGGTGGGACCGCCTTGCCCCCGGGCCCTCTCCGTGAACGAGGCCCACCCATAGCCCACCCATAAGCACCAGGCCTCAGGGTCACACCTCACAGGGTGCCGGTCACCGCGTGGTCCGGGGAGAGGTGCCCCTGAGCTTCGTGGCTGCTGCTTTTACAGGTGCCCGCACCACCCCGCCACCCCTGACCCTGAGCCCCCGTGCACCCTCATACTCTGACCCTCCCTGCACCCTGCCTCCCGCCCCTGCACGGTCAGAGCTGAGCCACAGGAAGCAGGGCCAGCAAGTGTGCAAACCGAGAGCCAAGATCGGGGAAGTTTATTTTCCAAGAGTCATCTAAACACACAGGGAGCATGTTCAGGCCCTGGCTCCCACCCGGATGCCACATCTAAACAGGGGGTCAGAGGTCTGCCCGCCGGGGGCAGAGCAGCCAGGGGAGGCAGGCTGGGCACCGCAGACCCCCCCGCCCTTGGCCCAGAGGCCCCTCTCCCTCAGATGACTGCCAGAGGAGAGGGCTGGCACGGGAGCCATGCTGGGGCCGAGGAGTGACTGAGGGTGCCTGGGCCTCTCTGTGAACGACGGGCGGCCGCTGGCCTCCTATTGTCTCTGAGCCAGAGGGGTCGGCTGAGGGTGGCGGGCAGCACTGGGGGAGCCATTTACCCAGAAGAGGAGGCTCTCGGGACCACACGCTGTGAGAGGGACTGCCGTCAGCCTCCGCTCCAGGGCGCAGAGCCGATTGCAGGGGGCGGCTGCCCACCCCCAGGGGACTGGCCAGGAGTGTGACCTTGCTCTGAGTGTTGTGCTGACGGCATCGGCCCCCCGCCTCCAGGTGCAGGCAGGGCAGATGGAATGCTGGGAGGAGGCCTGAACCCTGGGCCCCAGACAAGCTGTGCCCATTCTGGCCCCCACTGGCCAGGTTTATTATTGTTTATGATTGTGGGGGAGGGGGGAGGGGGGAGGGCGGTGTGCCTTCTGCCTGGGGTTGGAGAGGCCAAGGCTCCCCAGTCTCTTGCAAAGAGCTGGGACTTCCTGGTGCTGCTACCATGTTGTTCCCTGAACGTTGCCTTGAGGGCAGGGTCCGGGCTGGGAGGTGGGGGTAGAAACGGGGCGGGGGGGGGGGGGGGGGGCAGGGGGGAGGGGGAGGGCTTCTAAGAGCCCTGAGCTGGGGGTGGGGGTGTGTGTGTGCAACTTAGATCTTAGATCCCTTGCAGGCTGCCGTGGGAACCAAAGGGAACAGGTTCAGCGTCCACATACCCCCCGCTGACACCGGCTGCCTGCTGTTGCCATGGTGATGCAATCTCCTCCCCGCCTGCCACCCACGGCCGCGTGGTCACCGGGGAAAGGAGGTGGGTGCTTATTCTTGGTCACGAAGAGGAACAGGGAGGGGAGCAGCCCTTTCTCCCGCTTCCCAGGCTTGGCTGGGGGCGGGCAGGGACTCTGAGGGTATCGGGGTCAGAGAGGGCTTGGAGGTCCCCTCCTCCCACCAGCTCCCTCCCACGACCCAGCAGGCCAGCGCCTCTCAGCTCCTCCCGCTGGCGGATGCACCTCCCTGGGGGAGCCCCCTCCTCCAGACAGAGCCTGTAGAGAGGTGGTCCCCACAGCGCCCCTGCCCTGAGGGGCGCTCTTCACCAGCACGCCTGTTCTTGTCCCCTTTTCCTGGGCCTCAAGGGGCAGGCTCCTCCCAGACCCAGCCCTGCCCTGAATGAGGAGGTCTGAGAGCCTGGGGCCCTCAAACCTCCTGGCCTGGCCTGGGACCCACCAGTGGGCCTTGTTTCCTTCTCCCTTGGCTTTCCAGCCGCACCCCCCCCCTCCCCCAACACACACACTTACCTGCCCCTCCTAGTCTCCCTGCCTCCTCGGTCCCGGAGGGAAACATCACCAGACACACTGAGGGGCCGGAGAGTGGTGGTAGGGGCTTTCCTGACAGCTCCCTGGTGCAAGGCCAGGGACCCTTGGATTCACCTGTGACTCCCTTTCCTCCCCGTTCTTTTCTGACCCATCAGCTCCTGGGCTACTACAGCGCCCCCACCTGCCCGCAGCCTCACCCTGCACCCCAGCTCCACCAAGCAAAGACCCTCCCAGTCCCTCACGCCCAAAACCAGCATCCCTGAAATATCCTACTTCAAGGGCCCTTACTTTGAGCGCCCACCCCCAATCTCTTTGTCTCTTTTCTCCATCCTCCTCCTCCTCCTCCTCCTCCTCCTCCTCCTCCTCCTCCTCCTCCTCCTCCTCCTCCTCCTCTTCCTCCTCCTCCTCCTCCTCCTCCGGCTCCATATGGCCTCCTCCCGGGCCTCTGTCAAGTCCTCCGGATGTCCCTCCCCATGAGGCCCTCCCGCCCACCTTCCTGACCGGCTCTCTCCACAGCACGCACGGCCTCTGAGACCTTGAACAACGTGTCTGTTTTATTGGTGGGAACTCCAGGAGGGCAGGCATAGACACTCAAGAAGTATTTCAGAAAATAAATGAGCTCTTGGGGGGGAAAAAATGAGGAACATTTGTAATAATATGAACAATAAAGATTTATTTAAAAAAAAAAAAAAAAGAAAGAAAAGAAGATAAATGAGCTCTTGTCGCCCACCTCGCCCAGGCTGCAGCCACACACAGCCCGCGCTCTCCGGCCCTGGCACAGGGGAGAGGGCGCGGGCGGGGGCCTCCGTGGGCTCCGAGGTGCCTTCGCACCCCTCAGACAGGGAGTTCACACCCCCGGGCCCCTGCTCCGAGGACATCCCCAGGCCTCACGGCCCCTCCCTCCCCAGGCACCGGGGGTAGCTGAGGGGAACCGGGCAGGGGTAGTTGTGGGAACTCAAAACAGACCCGAGAAAGGCTTCTCTAAAAATATATCTGTATTTCTTCCAATCGTCATCCAGGTCCGACCTGGGGAGCAGAGGAAGGGGGCCCACGCCCTCTGAGGGCAGAGGGCAGAGGGCGGAGGTCAAGTGTCCAGAGGCGAGCCATCATCGGAGGAAGCCAGCCACCAGGCAGGTGAGCGTGGGGGCCAGCAGCGCGGGCAGCGGCAGGGGCAGCAGCTGGCCGGGGGCCTGGGACCTGAACACGGGGCGCTGCCCCCGGCGCTGCAGGGGCCTGACGTTGTCTGTCATCTTCTGCTTCTGCTCGTTGTCGTAGTACAGCTTCTCAGAGAACGCAAGGATCTGCCAGGGACAGGGACAGGGGGGCTGGATTCCCCGGGCCCCTCCCGGGGCCTCTCTGAGCCCTCCCTCTCCGTCCCCACGTGGACGACAAGCACGAGGTGTGAGGCGCTGGGCCCTGGTGGCCTCCGTTCCCGTTAGCTGCCCTCGGCCCCGTGGGCAGCGTGGAGGGCCCAGGATTACAACTATTGTCGCTGTTACCACAGAACAGTGGCCCCGGGACTCGCATGCATGCCACCTGAGGGCTTGCCGGGCCCCAGACTGCCAGGCCGCACCCCGGACTTTCTGACTCCGTCAGGAGTGAGGCCTGAGAATGTGCATGTCCAGCGAGTTCCCAGGTGATGTAGCTGCCGCGGGCCCAGGGACCGCTCTGTGAGAACCTCTCACTGTCCGGGAACAGAACGCCAGGAGGGCGGGGACGGACTCTCCGCTGCATCCCCACAGGCCAGTGTGCCACAGGGACTGATGGCCGTTTGTGGAAGGAACGGCCTGTTTCCCCGCTGTGGCTACGCCAGCCCGCTCTCAGCTGCTCCTGGCCGGCCCCCAAGACCCAAGTCCCCTGCCCTCAGCTGGCCGACTCCCACCTCCTTTCCGGCGTGCAGCCTGGAAGTCTTTCTGACACCCCTCTCCCCTCCAGCCCTGAACCCAGAGACAGGCCGGCTGGGACCTTTCCGGTCTGTCTCCAGCAGGGATTCATCCAGCAGGCCCTCAGCTGCCTGGGTGCCCCTCCCCAGCCCGGGGGACCTCTGGGGGGATCGAGGGCAGTGGTTTTGGGGAGCGGGGCAGTGGAAGCGGCACCCTCAGCCGGGCCCTGTATACCTGGTCCCTGTGGAGCTGAATGGGCTCCGCAAACACAGTCCAGACGACCTTCTCGTCGCAGCCCGGCGTGGTGAGCGAGCCCAGGTAGCGGAAGTAGTGCCTCAGTTTCTCCTGCTCCGGGAGCAGGTCAAACAGGCTGACGCTCTCCTTCATTGGGGTGCTCATCACTGCGGGGGGGAGTGGGGGGGAGAAAGGGACTGTCCGTGGAGGGCAAGAGGGGGTTCTCGGGCCCCTGATCCCCCTCACCCCCTCACACACCTCCCTCCGAGAGCCTGGCCCCCCTTTGGAGGAACCGGTCCCCCCCTCCCATCACTCCCAGGCCCCCTCCTGGACCTCCTGACTCACTGGGTCTGGGGATAGCAGACAGGGCCTCCACCAGCGGCTGGAAGTTCTCGTTCTTGGATCCAGCCTGGAACATGGGGAGGGGGAGAGCTAGAGAGGGGCTTGTGGGGAGCTGGTGGTGGTGACCCCAATGTGTTCTCCTGGTCTGGGGTCCGGAGGGCAGGCAGCTTCTGAACCTGAGACTCTGAGAGGCTCTGAGCTCCCCGCACTGCCCCCCGGAGGGTGTACAAGTCATGAGAAACAAGGGGCCTCCCCAGGCCCCTCCTGTCTTGCTCGAATCCCCGGTCTCTGATCCTAAGAAGCAGCCCCTCAGACCCCGGGGGTCGGGGCCCACCTCCACCAGGAAGGCCAGCACTGCGATCTCGTCTTTGGCGTCCTGGGCCTCTTTCTTCTCTTTCTCATGTACAATGTGCATCTGGCGGGCGGTGAGAGAGAAGGAGAGAGAAATGGGGGGGGGGGGCTGGGCCCCCTTCCCCTCTGAGGCAGGCTCCTCAGAGCCCAGCCAGGCCCCACCCAGGAGGGCCTCTCACCTCCATGGCGAAGCGTTCCCCGTCCAGGCTGTGCTCGGAGCCGGCATCCGGCTCCCGGGACCAGTGCAGGTGCAGCTGCTTGGCCCTGTACGGGGAGGCCAGGCCGCCTCCGGCAATCGAGACCCCGCTCCCCAGCGACACCATCACTGAGGGCACAGGAGGGCGGTCCTGTACCCACCGCCAGCTCCTTCCCAGCTCCGCCCAAGCAAGACCTCAACTCCGGGTCCCACCCTCTGTGAGCTTCAGGCCTGGCCCGGAGGGAGGGGACAGGATGGGCGGCCCAGCCCTAGACCGTTCCCTGGCCCCCCCACCTGCCTCTCCCTCTGCACACCTCCCACTGCCCCAAACAGGAAACTCCCTGGGTCCCTCCCTGGCTCCAACGCCCCCCCCCCCTCCATGGTGTCCTGGCGTCCTCAGGGGAATGGCCACCTCCTCAGCCCTCGGGGACCTGCCGGCCCCTCCTCACGCGGTTCCCAGGCTGCTCCACATCCTCATCTCTGCACACGGCATTCCTCCATTCCTACACGCCCCCCCCTCCTGTCCTAGCCTGATCTGATGACGGTTTGCAAATACTTCTTTCCCAAGCCGGTCCTGCCCCTCCCCTATCCAGAGCTCCCAGCTTCTCCTCAGCAAAGTGGAGCTGGGCCTGTGCACCCCTCCTGTCCTCAGGGAACTCAGGGCCCCTGGCCCGGTGCCCATCCTGCCCCCGGGACCCACCGGAGTGCCCGTTGTTTTGGATGCTCCACTTCTCCCTCTTGTCGTAGCCGGAGAAGGAGAAGGGCCCCAGGCTGTCGTTCACCCATGCCCGGGGGGTGGCGATGTTGATGGGGGACTGGCGGTCCTGCTGGCACTGTCCGCCCCAGCGGTCCGGCCCTGAGCAGAGAGGAGGCAGGTGGGGTCGGGGTGCCTGGCCCCCGGCTGTGGCCTCCTCTGCCCCATGGAGGTCAGGCCCAAGCAAGCACCCAGCTCATGAGTGGCAAGGCCCTGGGCCTGGCAGGGATGTGGGACAGGGTGGGACAGGGGGGCCAGGAGGTGGCTGTGAGCTCTGGGGAGGGAACAGCTGGGCTGTGCGGGGAGAAATGTGGCGATAACTGGGTGATGGAGTTCAAAGGGGAAGGGGAGGGCTCTGGGCAGGTGTGGAGGGGCCCCTGGAAGGGCTGGAGGCGGGGTGTGACCCAGGGAGGAGCCTGGTTCCTTAACCCTGGGGACCTCGCAGCCTGGCACCCCCTGCATCTCCTTCCAGGGACTTCATTTTCAGCTTCAGTGCATCACATAGCCCATTTGACCAATGCACTCGGCTAACAATATGATTGGCCTGTGGCAGCAGAGGCAGGACCAAAGCTGCGCTGGAAAGCGGTCAGTGTTTGAGGAGAAAGTGCAGGTCTCCCTTTGTTCCTCGAAAGAGCCAAACCCTCCGGAGGGGAGCGATGGGTTGCCAGGAAAGGGCCCCCGGGCTCAGGCGTGTATACTCGCAGGCAGGCGTGTGTGCCTGTGTTCAGAGCTGGTATGTGGCTGGCGGGGCACCATGATCCTTCGTCCTTCCCACCATCCTGTGTCTCCAAGGCAACCTGAAGCCTCCAGGGCCACGGACTTACCCAGGCAGTCCGTGGAGTCCTTGGCTTGAATCGCGTAGCACCAGTGTGACTCTGGGGCAGAGAGAGGCAGGAGGTGAGGCCTGCGCACGCGTGTCCGTCCGTGTACCGGTGCACACGTACACCCTAGGGGCACCCGTGAACTGTGTGCACACAAGCCACACGTGTGTGTGTGTGTGTGTGTGTGTGTGTGTGTGTGTGTCTGTGTACGTGCATGCACACAGAGGGTCAGAGGCTGCTAATCTCCCTGGAGTCAGGGCCCCCCTCGGGTCCGGGTGAGGACACTTAGGAAGAAGCTGTGGGTGGGGATGGGGCAAGAACTGTGACTCATCTGCCGGTACTGGGTTCTCCTTCCTTGGGCAGGCCGGGCTCTGAGGCCCCAGGGCTCTGGCCTGCACACTCTCCCATGGCTGCTCACCAGCCTCCCCGCCCCCTCCTCCAGCCCAAACCTGGGCGGGAGGGGAGAGGGGAGGAGAGGGATTAGGCTGGCACAGCCAGGTGCTGGCTGCCTTCCCAGAGGTGGCCAGGGGGGTGATGCCTCCAGGAGATTAGCTGGCCCCTCCCTCTGGTGAATAAGACCCATTCTTGGCTAAACTTTCACAGCCCCACAGCAAGGAAGACAGCCAAGCCTTTGCCCCTGACCCACCACCCCACACTCGTGAGTTTGGGGGCCAGGCAGACTCAGGTCCTCACCCCGGCTCTGCCTCAGGCTGGCAGAACCAGCATCTCTGCAAAAAGGCTGCACCACAAACATGCCACACACATGCATGAGCACAGGGGAGACTGTGCAGACTGCACCACAAACATGCCTACACACATGCATGAGCACGGGGGAGACTGTGCAGGCTGCACCACAAACATGCCACACACATGCATGAGCACGGGGGAGACTGTGCAGGGGCAGAGGGAGCACACGGGAGCCCTCTGCTTTCTGCTCAACTTTTCTGTAACCCTGAACCTGCTCTATTTAAAGTCTATCCATATATATATATATTTTTTAATTTATTTTACTTTATTTTTTTAAAGGCTGGACCAGCAGGTAGACAAAGCATTTGATCCGGAGCTGGAGCTGAAATTCTGGCTGAGGAGCTGTGAGTTTAGGAGCAAGTCACTTACTCTCTCTGAGCCTCAGTTTTATCATCTGTAACGTGGGACAACCCCGCCCCCCTCGCTGGGCTGTGGGGAGGACTCAGTGAGGCGGCGGGAGTGTTGAGGGTAGCCTGGAACTCAGTCACGTCCCTGCTGAGCCCTTCCCTTCCCTTCCTCCCTCCCTCCGGCCTCTTGTACGTGCACAGATGGCAAAAGCCAGGCTGGAAAGAATTCAGGGATGAGGAAATTTCTAAGAAAAGCAATGCTTCTCACTCAGCCTGAGCTCAGACCTCTGAGCAAATCCCCCCCCCCCCCCCCCCGGATCTTGCCTGGACTGCCCCCCCCCCATCCACACCCACCTTCTCTGGGGTCCCTGGGATGGGGTCAGAGTGGGGAGGGAGTCATGAGGAGGGGAGGGAGCCATGAGGAGGAGCGGGAGGGGGCTATGAGGAGGGCAGGATCTCGCTGGGGAGGGGAGGAAGAGTTGGAGCCAGGAGTGAGCACACAGAAAGCTGGACACCCTCTTGCTCTGGGACCCTCAGAGCCACCTTGGGCCATCAAGGCCCCCAGCTCTGGACCAGATGCTTCCCCTGCCCTGCTGGGACGGCCGCTTTCCCTGACGGACGGACAGTCCCTGAGTGTCTTCCCCTGGACAGGGCTCTGCTGCCCCTGGGAGTTGCTGCATCTGGAAACCCCCCTGTGGGCGGCAGGAGCTCTGAGGCCTGAGCGGTCCCCTGGCTGCCTCTGCCTCTGCCTCTGGCTTAATCTCTCTCAGCGGGAGAGCTCCGGACTTCTGAGCCCCACACTCTTCCTCGGGCTGGAGTGCGTGTCCCAGGAGGCGATGAGTGGGAGGTCACCTGGGCCGCTGAGGAGCTCCTGGTTACAGTCTCCCCCCCCCCCCCCCCCCCCCCCCCCCCCCGTCTTCCCCTCTCAGAGGTCCCAGAGGCAGCCGGGGCCTCCAAGGTCAAGTGGGACTGGGCGGGAAAGCCACTCCAAGGGAAACCTTACTTAAGTCAGAGCCCCAGGAGCTGGCGGTGAAGGGTGGGACCCCTCCAGACCTCCCTGGGGCCCGTTTGGTTCAGGCTAAGCGTTTCTTAGGAATTTGCTCCTTCCTGCCAGCTCGGGCTCCTGTGTTTGTGATGGTAACCTCTGATCCACTGTCTTAATCATAGAAACTTTTGACCTGCTTGGATGAATGCTCTTGTAACTACCCTCTTCAGGAGGCAGGAGGCAGGAAAACACAATGTTGATGGGGCCAGGGCCAGGGGTCAGGTCTGCCTGTGGGCCGAGGGTAGACAGCTGGCTTTTAGGCAAGAGGCGGCAGGTCACACACACCAGCTCAGGCTCCTGTGTTCGTTCACCAGAAGGCTGGGGCCCTCCTCCCCGCTCTGTCTCAGCCCCCCTCCAAGAGGGCCCGGGGAGGAGTGGGGCTGCCCACACCTCCGTCTTGGCTCCACGCTCCAGGTTCCACTAGCCTACCAGCCCTGAGCAGAAACAGAGCCAGAGACCGAACCGCCATCATCAATCTCCCAGCCAACGTCCCCACCCTTGACCTTCCCACCCCCGGCCCCCCTTCTTTCGGGATGGCTGAGGAATCTCCCTCTGCTGGACCTTGGTCACCCCACCCTCCCACTCTGGGGGGGAGGAAGGGATCCTGAAAACCAGCTCAGCGAAACCCGAATATGTCCTGGGGCAAAGTCTCAGCAAGCCCTGGCCCTGGCCTGGAGGCTGGGGCTGCAGGGGCCCCTATGCTCTCCCCTCCTCATGGCAGCAGGTGCTCTGGGGCCTTCAGTGGGCAGCCAGCCCTTCCCCAGCCTCAGGGTCCCCAGGGGAGGAAGTGGCTGCAGGGAGGCAGGGCCAGGCGGCCGCAGGAGCACAGGCTGAGTGAGGGGGCAGTGGAGATCAGGCCCCCGTTGGCTGGCGCGGGGCAGCGGTAGAGCCATCATAGCCATCCTGCACCACCCTAAGCGGGCACACCCACCCACGGGGACCCTGCACACCACCCGTGAAGTTAACCACTCTCCTGCTTTGCCAGTGAGAGAGCGGAGAGTGACTTACCCAAGGCCACACGGCCACAAAACATCCGAATTAATTGCAAAACCTTGCGCTCTCTAAACGAGCCCATCTGCTTAGGCAGGTTTCAAAGGTCCGGCTCTATAAATAGCCATGTTCCCGCCCTGCGGTGGAAGGAAGCGAGGAACACAGTCCTCTGGCTCCCGGGGTCTCCCGGCAGCCCGATCGCCAAGCAGACAGGCGGCAGATTCATGAGCGAGCATGACCACGTTTAATGTCGTCCGTCCGGGTGGGAGCCCCCACATGCCTGAGCGGTTCCCAGAAAGGGAAAATGAAGTCCATATGGCATTCTGGGCTAGGGGTGAGGCGAGGCGCCTTGGGGCTTCACAAACAATAGGAAGAGCAGATGTGCGGCCATGAGGAGCCCGCCCTGCCTTATAGATAAGTCATCAAGAGCCAATTCCGGGTACAGCTCAGGATTGGCAAAGGTCCCCGATGTAAATTCTTCCAGAAAGGGGTGTAAAAGTTTTTCGATTGCCTTCAGCTCAAAGTAATTCACAGGCCCCAGGGGCGCATCGTGGGGAGTCCAGCTCGGAACCCCTTCCCTGTCTTTCCCCCTCCTCCCCTCTTTCCTCCCCTCCTGAGAGTGGCTGCAAGATGCCCTGCATCCCGGCCCTCCTCCCCCAGCGGCCAAGTCTGTCCCGCACCCGCACCCGCACCCCCTCTCCCTGCAGCCGAGGTTCCCTCGCCCCCACGCCATGCTCCAAGGGGGGGGGGGGTGCATCCGGCTTTGGAGAGAGGTTTGGTCTCTTGAGCAGAGGTTTGGTGGGATGGGCGCCAAGAACACGGTTTAGGGGAACTGAGCTGGGAACCGGCAGGTGGGACTTCAGGAAGGAGGTGCCCCCGGGAGGTGGTAGAAACCGTGCCTCCGGGTCCCGCGCGCAGCCGCTGGAAGAGCCTTCAGTTCCTTATCAAATATTAACACATTTCTCCTGCCACCTCCCACCTAGGAGAATAATTAAGAGCTTGGCCTCACCATTAATCTTTAAACGAAAATCACCCTGGCCGGACAGACCGGCTCTACCGGGCGCCTCGGGTCTCCGGATGTCCCCGGCCAGGCTCCCCACGCGGCCCCGGGGACCAGGAGCGCAGGGGAGGGAGCGGAGCGGGAGGCCCAGGACCCGCCACACCCAATGTGCTGCCGTAGCTCCGGGCGGAGAGAAAGGGTCAACCTCCCCACCGCCCACCCCAGCCCCCAGCCCCGCGGGGCGCACAGCCACAAACGGGGGGACCAGGAACCGCCAGAGAAAGGGCGGGAGGCGAGGCGCGCGCCAGGCGGCGGGAGCGCATCCTTCCCCAGGCTCGCCAGCTCCCCGCACCCGGGGCCGCCGCGCACACCGGGCACAGTGGGCACAGCGGACACACCGCGCACACGGGGGCACACCGGGCACACCGCGTACACCGAGCACAGCGGACACACCGTGCACAGCGGACACAGCGGACACACCGCGCACACGCGGGCACACCGGGCACAGCGGACACACCGCGCACACCGGGCACACCGGGCACAGCGGACACACCGGGCACAGCGGGCACACCGCGCACAGCGGACACACCGGGCACAGCGGGCACACCGCGCACAGCGGGCACACCGCGCACAGCGGGCACAGCGGGCACAGCAGACACACCGGGCACACTGCGCACAGCCCGGACACAGCGGGCACACGCGGGCACACCGCGCACAGCGGGCACACCGCGCACACGCGGGCACAGCGGACACACCGCGCACAGCGGACACACCGGGCACAGCGGGCACACCGCGCACACGCGGGCACACCGCGCACAGCGGACACACCGGGCACAGCGGGCACACCGCGCACAGCGGGCACAGCGGGCACACGCTCCCCGCACGGCGCGTGGCCGGGGTGTGCGCCCACGAGCCCGCTCGCGCCCGCCGCCCGCAGCCCCGCTCCCCCGCTCCCTGCGCACGCGCCGCCGGCCGGACGCGCAGCCGGCGCAGCGGAGCCGCGGGCGCAGCCCGGGCGGGGGCGCGGGGCCACCCGAGGGGCAGGGCCGGGCCCGGCGTTCACCTGCGCGGGCCGGGGCCCGGGAGGCGGCGAGGGCCAGGAGCGCCAGCAGCAGCCGCATCCTGCGCGCAGCACAGACGCCGCCGCCGAGCCGGGGGTCGCGCAGAGGAGGCCGCCGTGGGTGCCGCGGCCATGAGGCCCGGGCTTTATAGCGGAGCCGCGGCGGGAGGGGGCCCGGTCCACCGGGCGCGGGTGGCGGCTCCTCCCCCTGGCGGGGCCTCCCTCCCCTTGTCCTGAGCCGCCACCCCCTCCACCCCAACCCCCACCCCCACCCTCACCCCCCACCCCCACCCTCACCCCCACCCTGCTCTAGGAAAGAGGCCCGGCCGACTCCGCGTCCTCTCCTCTCAGAGGCGCCCCCCGCCCCCCGCCCCCGTTCCACACCGGCGCTGGTTTGGAACCCGGAGCAGCATCGCCAGGTGCTTGAGCCACACAAGGTGCCCGGAGTCCGGACCTGGACCAGTTTGGCGGGGCCCTGAGCCGCGCTCTGGCCTCTGGAGAAGCCCGCGGGGGCCGTGGGGGCCAAGGGGGTGCCTGGAGGGTCTAGGAGCGTATAGGGGGTCTCGGGGTGCATAGGGGGCCTCGGGGTGCATAGGGGGCCTCGGGGTGCCTGGAGGATCTCGGGGTGCATAGGGGGCCTCCGGGTGCATAGGAGGCCTCGGGGTGCATAGGGGGCCTCGGGGGGCCCAGGGTTGGGGCGGGCGGTGGAGGTTGCTGGGCGGGAAGACGGAGTTGAGGGATGCGCGTCTCTCCCCGGCAGCGGCCACTGACTCTCGGTCCCTTTTCGTTTTCTCTCTCCTCCCAGGCTGCTCCCTGAGAACTTCACTTCCAAGCACACCAAAGACCCCTCTTTCAACACAGAGTGAAGACGCCCCTGCATCTCCGTGAGTGTCCGTGCCACGCTCAGAGCGGGAGGGTGGGGGGCGCAGAATGGCCAAGGGGCCCCGTGAGCGCGACCCCTGCGGGGTTCGGGGGAGGCCCGGTCCCGGGCGGCCAGCCTCCACCCTGAGACGGTGCGATGGAGAGAAAAGAGAGGGTGTCGAGGGAAGGGGCCCCTCGTTCTCGCATGTGCTAGCATCTTCCGACGAGTCTGGGGAAAGAAGGGTTCCGTTAAGGCGGCCCAGCATTGGGGGTGACAGGCCGGGGTGGGGGCCTGGAGGGGCAGCTGCCTCTGGTCGGGGGCGGGTGCTGAGCTGTGTGTCCCTCTGGGCGGTGCTCTCCTCTCCCTTTCTCTGCGCCTGGGTGCGGGCTTCCGTGGCGGTTTGGGGATCTCAGACTCAGATGAGGAAGAGGGATGGGGAGCCAGGCAGTGGAGGGGGGGGGAGCATCCATCAACAGGAAGCCCCCGTTTTCTGATCTAAGCCCTTCCCCTCCTGTTGCCAACTACTCAGCCCCCACCAGCCTTTGAACTTAGGCTGGGGACCTCTGAGAAGGGATTCCCCCCGCTCCTCCAAGAATTACCTGGGTAAAAGGCTTCCTCCTTGGATAGAGCTCCCCAACCCCCTACCCCCTCCTGGCCCAGGATCACTCAGCCCCAGGAGCAGCTTTGATCTCACAGAGGCCGCCATGGGGCTCAGGGCCTATTGTCCTCACAGCTTCAGACTTGAGTCACCAGCCTGGGCCGGTGACCATGGGGAGGGGTTCTCCAGGGCCTTCTCTGGGGAAGTGGATTTCTGTTCTCGGGACTATAAATCTCTCAGGACTGGGGCCGGGCAAGAGGTGGGGCCGGAGAAGCCTGTTCCTGGGAATGAGGTCTACCTCCCCGTGACCCCAGGCCGGCCCCACCTGGCAGGACGAAGACTTGGAAACATTTGTGGGGTTGAGGGGCTATTGATCAGCGACTCTTGGATTCACTTCCCAAAATCCATTGCGTTGGGGGCCCCCAGGGGAGAGGAGGGTGGGAGGGGGAGCTGCTCCCTAGGTAATTATGCTCTTCTCAGGTCAGTGCTCCCCCTGTTGTTGTGTTTTGGGGCCAGCAAGATGGGTAAGGAGAGCCCGGCTGGTGTGGCTCCGTTGGTTTGAGTGTCATCCGGTGCACCAGAAGGTTGCAGGTTTGATCCCTGGTTGGGGAATGTACTGAAGGCAGCTGATCGATGTTTATCTCACTTTCTCCCTCTCCTTCTCCTTTTCCCTCTTCCTCTCCCTCTCCCTCTCCGTCTCTCTCTCTCTCCATCTCTTCTTCCCTTCCTCCTTTTCTCCTTCCTCCCTCCTCTCCCCTTTCTCTAAGCATAAATAAAATGCTTGGGCTGGGGAGGAGGTAACGGATGGGCATCACTACCCGGACTGGGCAGAGCATCGTCCAGTGACCCCAGGGTTGGCTGACGCCAACTCTTCCTCTGACTCAGGGGTCACCTTGGACAACTTCCCTACTCCTCTCTTTTTGTAACTTCCTCATCTCTAAGGTGGGGATGGTAATCTCTGCCCTTCTGACCCCCACCAATAAACAGTTATTGGGCTTGCTGTGAGCCTGCCCCTGCCCATCCCAGACTTTCACAACCCGCCTGGGTGTCACACTGGCCTGACCCCACCATGGACGGACGCGGCGTTGAATCATAGTTCCCACCCTCTGGGGATGTGCACATACACGGCCCTTCCAGGAACAGAAGGGAGGCACCGGGGAGGCCAAAGGGCTTGGCGTCAGCCAACCCTGGGGTCACGTCTGGTCCCCTCCACTTGCTCTGTGATGTCAGCAGGGCCTCCGTGCCCATCATCTGTAAAATGAAAACCATACCTCTCACATGTGAGCTGAAGCCAGGTGGGACACATTAGTACACGTGACCATGACCTCTAAGGGGAGGTCCCTCTACCTGACCCCAGGCAGGTGTGGATGTAGCATCAGGTGGCCAGGGACAGGAGGCCGAGCCCAGGAGAGGGGCCGTGGCATCAGGGTTCTTCCTAGATTCCAAGACTTAGGGTGGGGTGAGCAAGGCTGAAGGGCAAGAGGGAAGCCCCAGCCACTACTGCCTGGGCCCTGAAAATGCCAGATTCGGATTCAGCCCCTCCTGGGACTCCGATGGCAGAGTGGGACCGAGGCACCTCTCTCAACACTGCACGCGTGGTGTCCACGGGTCAGAGGCCTGTGTGCGAGGGGCGACGTGGGCAGACAGAGCTTCTCATGGGCTTTGGCATGACAGCGCCCTGGTTCACATCCCAACCTGGGCACTTACCCTTCACCTCTCTCAGGTCAGCGTCCTGATCAGCCAAGGGAGAACCCAGAGGACACCTCCCTCTTGTGTGGGTGTGGTTAGGGTTTAACTGGGTGATGCTGGGTAAAGGGTCTGGTAGAGGGCCGGGCACCTAGAAAGTGCTCAGTACACCTCAGCTGTCATCACTAGCTGTTGAGGGCCACAGTGATATTACAGGAGCCCCGGGCAGTGGCACCTCACTCAGCCAGGAGGTGGGGGATCGAAGAAAGCTTCCTGGAGGAGGCGAGCTGAGTGTTAGAAAACTAGTAGTTCTTAATCCCCACAGGGAAGGGAGATCCAGGCAGAGGAAACAGTGAGAAAGGGCTCGGAGGTGGGCTGGATGGGTAGGAGCATCAAGTGAGGGGAGAGTGCGGAGAGGAAACTGGGGGGGTGTTTGGCACCAGACGGATAGGATTTGTTCGTTGGGATTAGAAGGTTGGGCCGATCTTGAGGGGGTAGATAACAAGATCCTGATTTTCTAGGCCAGGAAACAGCCTCAGCCACTCGGCCCTAGGAAGGGACAGGGGTCCTTGAGTTACAGAGAGGAAGCTGAGGCTCAGAGAGGGCAGTGACAGTGCCCAGGTTGCCCAGTGAGGAGAGAGCAGAGCTGGGATTTGAACCCTGGTCTCCCTCACCCTGATGTTCTTTCCATGCCATCTCACTCCCCACAGCACACACACCTGCCTCCCAGGGGGACCCTTGTTGGGAGATAAGTAGGTTTGCAGAGACGGCAGTTTTTGCATCCCTGGATCTTGAGATTAAACCCACATGTAGTACAAGGTTTAACCAAGGGCCGCAGCTCCGCCACTCCCCGGCCTGGCTCTCTGCCAGGTCCTCGCAGAGACAACAAAGCTGCTTTCCTGAGGGCTGCAGCCCTCTGCCCCGGTTGTGGTGTAACCCCCATCTCACAAAGGACGCCTCAAACAGCCGAATCATTTACTAAAGGCCTGCGGCACACGAGGGAGCAAAAGCGCTCCAGACCTCGCGGCCCCGCACAGCTTGCCACATCTGGCTTCCATTGGCAGAATATCACAAAGGTATCGATTACATCTTTGGGTCTGGAATGAGGAACCTGTTTCGTGAGCAAGTTAGTTATCTACGAATCACGGAACCCACAGAAACACATTATCTGGGACCATCTGGGCAATTTAGCATTGTACTGTCCAGATTTTGGGACCACTGAGTCAACAGGAATGCACTATTTGTAGCTACTGATGCAATTTAGGATAATTTTGTGCTCTTCTGATTCCGGGACCCCTGAGTCAACCGAAACTCAGTTATCCGTAGCTGCTGAGATATTTGGATAATTGAGCTGATCTGATTCTCAGAAGAATGTGCTTCGCTGGCCAGTGAGAGCACAATCAATGGGACATTCAGACCATCCTCCATGGAGTATTGGGAGAGCATGCATAAGTTCAGAAAATCAAAATAACTTCCTACTGTTTTAGCAAACACATAAGTACAGAACCCAAACAGCAGCTTCTACCACCATCCTTCACCACCACCTTCAACTCTACCTTCTTTCTCCGCTCGGTGGAGAGAATCCTGCGGGAGGAAAAGAGGGACAGACAGAGTGCTGGGGGTCGTCCTGGGGAAAGACAAGGGCTTCCTTAGTAGAGGGCTTGGCAGGCAGGCACTTCTGCCCCTGAACATTTTGAAATAATAACAGCAGGAACAAGCACGGGGTAATCCGGCTCGGGGCGAGGACATATGTTCCGTTCGGGCCCGGCAGAGTTCAGGAAAGCTCCCGCTGCTCTCCCCGCCCCTCTCCGCATCTCCGCCGCCGGCCCAGGCTGACCGAGGCAGGAGGCTGAGGTCTGACAGCGCTTCCTTGTATTTTCCAAGTGGATTCATTTACATTCTGGCTTTGTAGTGGAAGGACCTGTAAGGAGCATGATGGGGAGAAAAAGGAAAGAGCTACACCGGCAGCCTTGGGGACGGGGATGGGGGG